TACGCTTGCATTTTGGCGAATTGGAACATTAAAACACGAGCACTCGAAGACTACTGTTAGGAAATTTGTTTCTAATCGTCTAGAATTTCCAAAACTAGTAATATTTTTATGGGAAAATGTTAATTGAAAGTTGTTCTTAGCTGAGTGCGCACTTTGCTTTGTTTTTTTTGCATTTCACAATTCCATGCCCAGTCCTTTTTTAAAGACTGTCAGATTTTCCGAAAATAAATATCACCTCCGGAGGGTATAAGAAACTATGGCGTAGAATAAGCCCTTTTGAGGAGAATGTGCCCTGCATACCGTTTTACACCGAAGACTTTATCCCCATTAATTATGATTTCAGTTCAGTTTCCTGAATATGGGTAAAAAAAAGGAGTTTTACTTGGCCTGAAGTGCGAATGTGGCATTGTTTGAATTGGATAAAATACTTAACCTGTACGTGGCCGTAGACAAGCTACTGAACTCGATAGCTAAGTTTCACAGCGGATATGATGGTTATCAACATTAACGTAATGCTTATTTTCCAGGGGCAATTGACGAAGGTACCACTTAAAGTGTATCTTAAGACTGCAGTTTAGTGACTTGCAGACCATGTAACCTTGAGCAATTCAGTTACTTGATCGTTATAGAAAGAAGAAAGACATTCTGAAGCATTTTGTCCCCGGTACGAAGCTGAAGTAGGCAAGAACGGCAGGATTTATTGGTACCAAAAAATTTCGCGACTGCTCTTCAGCTGCTTCCTGTCGCTTCATACGAGAGATAACGAGTGAGAACAATACAACAGATTTGAATTCGTGCAGAAAATCGATGCAGATATTAGTAAATTCAGTATGACAATTAAAATAGGCGGGTATGTGGTTGGACTGTGGTCAGAAACCGAATAAAATGGGGCACAGTCTTTGAATTTTTCCATGTGTGACAGCTGGAAATGGCTTGGGAGGTACTTCGATCACAATATGGCATTAGGAAATACTTCAAAGAAGGCGTTGATGCAAAGCAATGTCACCACTTCTTTTATGTCAGCGGTTGCTGACATCATTTGTCATAATTCCTGCAGTCAAATTGGAAGGACTATTTCGAGCAATACATCTCAGTAAGTTCAATAACCCGTCAGACCTTTATTGTCCCCGCGCAGAAAAAACATTCTCTGACCGTTTACGTAGAACGGCGTTTAAAATGATAGACCCACAGCGAAGTCAACCCGATTTTTAGACTCATGCTTACCTATTAACGATACCTTTTCGGATTTGCTTTTTATCCCTGGGTAGTTAACTCCAGTCTGATCTTTCAAGGTTTATGAATGCCAGCGTCTGTCATAAGAAGTTATTTGTTCATGAATTTTGCAGTTTCCGTGCTCTTGTACGTGAGGCGCAAAAGCAATATTACTGAAATCAACCCTTCAAACTAATGCTCGCGTTTTCCGCTGCTACTCCGTTCTAGCTCACGGCTGCCGAGGGCATCGGTCGGAAAACCTACTGAATTTCTCCCAGTAGGTAAATGACGACTAATCGACTGCCGGAGGAAGCGTTGGCTAGACAGTGACAGACAAGGGTGCAGCATCCTATAATGCATTTCAGTTTTTAAATCTTGTTTTTAACTGCCGGTCAGTATAGCTTGTGAGCTGAATAAAAGTGTCAATCAACATGCGACCACCGTATAATTAGTCCGATATAGATTTAGTCATTTTTCAAGTGCATAGTTGACCCAACAGGCTTTGAGCGCGAAATCATGCACATAATTTTCGAAGGTTTGTGATTATCATGTCACTGCTGTGATGTGCGAAGAGGTAGAACATTTAGAATCTGCGAGAGGCATGTGTTACATTAACACAGTTCAAAATCTTTTGCGTTCTTAGGGAATTTCGCTTAATTCCGAAAAGGACATTCCCGCACGAACGAAGCGCCACGCCCTTTACGGAAGATCGACTTAAATGTCCCTACCAAGCAGTTGTCCTGTGTCGTGTTTCGGCAACGGACTTTCGAATATTACTCAGTGCGTTTAAGTTAATATTTTATGGAAAACTTTCCTCAGTGTCAAACATTTTATTGGCGCAGCCACCAGTTGCCTTTTTGCGCGCTTTTTCTACCTCTAACTGAGATAAAAGAGGAACTATGAGATGATTTAAGTCTTTTTATGTCTATGGACGTTTTAATCAACGCGGACTTGGCAAAGCTCAAGGCACATTGTTCGCTTGCCAAATGTCATGGGCGTAGCGAATTTTGACACCCTTGATTGAAGAGGCAGCGCAGCCAACTTATAGGACACTATTGTCATGCGAACCTTATCATTCATTACTACGTTTGATAATGCCGCTAAAAAATTAGTTAGATCCTCTCTTTTACAACTGATATGCCGTCTTTTCATCATGTTTGACAGAATGATAGTGGATAATTCACCTCACAACACAGGAGATATTCGAAGAAATTTTCTTATGATCCGCGGTATGCTCTAACTTTTTCATAGCACGGCAGTTTTAATCGTTCCGTTCAGTACTGTAAGTGGACGTGTAGACCGTCTCTCGAATATTACCATCAAACATTATGACTGTTATTCTATTAAAGCCCGGTTACCGCTTTTGTGAAAGAGGACTTTTGCTACAACATGTGTCGCTCAGCTAATGCTTAGGATGTACTTATTTTCGGGGTATTTATGCTCACTACTTATGGACAAAAAGCCTTAGTCCTGTTTGTATAATGCTCCACTTTCCATGTTACCTTATTCCTGCGTCCCAAAACGGCATTTTCTTACCAGACTGAGTGACACTATTTGATTCTGCTACTTTCTTGTGTAGTTTGTCAAACATTTAACTCACACTCTAGTTCTAAGACTCCCTGTGCACACAGCGGTATCATGTGAAACATTTGTTGATGTTTACGTTATAATTGGCGGGTCACTGTTGCCATTGGATGAATGGGCGCAACGTGTTTGACAAAGTTATACTAGAGCTCACACTGCAAAAGATCACTGTTAACATACATATACATTTCTCATACGCCTTGTATATGAGTGTCGGTACATGCTGCCGGAACTTCGAATCCGTACAAGAGTACATTGACAGAGAGCATAAAAGACCAGCAACAAATGGACGACAATTTAGGATTTTGTAACCTTTCAGCAGCATGTATATTTGACTGAAAACCAGGTAGCACTGTCTGACTGTGTTGAGTGCGACGCGTGACATCCAGAAGGTGGGGCGAGTTACCAGTTTATGGAGTCACTGTCGAGTATTATGGCACCACGTATACTTTTACCGTAATATGCAGTTATCAACAAGCCCTCAGAGTTTTGAGAGCTGTCAGGAAAGAAGCGTCTTTCTTCACAGCAACGGCTTATGACCATGAACCCATAAACTCGGTCCTCTTGTGCGATGGCTTATGTAATTCCAAATGCAAGCGCAGCATGTACTCCGGTGGACCACATTAAACTGATTACCTGTGCTTAGCTGATCCGTTCGGCGAAGGATTTTCTCGTACTGCCGTTCCTAATAGGCAAACGGCAATGCTTTCTGCGGTCACAAAGACCGTTTTATTATGTGGTAGAATGCGTTACTTATTTTTTGAGTCTTTTTGTTCGTTTACTATGGGTATGAAAGCAGCGGTTTATTAAATCTAAATGTCTCTTTTCAAATTATTACGCTGACATAAAATTTTCTGTATTCATTTCTCCGGGCCTTTGCATTGCTTATTAACTCCCTAAACGCACGTCTGTCGTCTTGATACCTGATGGTGACTGCGGTAGCTGAGAATTTGTGTTGCGTTAGGAAGCCCAGAAAGCACCATTTTGAGGATGCACCATCCAGTCATCGCGCCCAGGATGTAAGAGGAAGAGAGTTACCTTCCCTTTTCTCCCTCCTTTGTGAGCTGGCTATCGAGAAAAGTGTCACCGTGGCGTCCATGAAGTTGTACTTACCTAAGTAACTGGACGCACAAGGTATAAATAAGTCTTGTTTACAAACCAAGAGATAAACATACCAGGTCTTCTGTCAAAAACAGAAAAGGGCAAGGTCAATGTTTTGTACAGTGACACTTCCGCCGTCGATTTCGACGATGTCCACCGTGTGCTGTACACCAAGTTGCAACACGCACGGTGACTTGCGCATGGATTAGTTTATAGTGGTAGTAGACATGCGCAGCATCTATCTCAATCGCTCCTCCCCGCTCCCCACCTGGATCCGGTGGCAAGACAGAGTCAAGAAAACCGAAGGGGGGAGGGCTCAGGTGGCTGGCACGGCCGGACCCGCACCCAGGCGTGCTACCACGCCCCCTTGTAAACAACATACACTTGACCAGGATTGTTTCCCAATAACAACAACGACAGCCCCACGAGGGGACAGAAGGACAAGGATGACTGGGCAGCCATGCCCACCACCTGTATACCCATCCGGAGCGCATGCGCATCTACCGGCGGGGAACCAGGTATCAGGAAACTGCCAGCGCATACCAGGTTGTGAAGGCCATGGTTTGCTAATACTGACATAGCACACGCTCTCAGACCTTTTGGCCTTGACGGGCGGTACGTGGCCCTGCATTTAACCCGGGCCGTCACCCTTAAAGGTTAGGTGATCAAACAGTTGTCGACTGAATGTCACTACCTATAAAGCACACACACTAACTCAAACACTCTTCCCGCAGAGATCGCATGAGAAGGCGCCATGGCGGCCTGACTTTCAGCCCATCAGTCCGCCACTCCACACAACATACAAGTAGGCAAACTGTGTGCACCGAGTTGGGCATCGGTCGGCTGACTTCCGAGACGCACGTTTCCCACTTGCTTGGGAGACTGCGGTTGGGTGCTTGCGGTTGGTGATGTTGATGTGCGGTGAGATACTGGTGGGGGAGGATGTAATTGTGTGGTGCAGCCGGCGGTTGTTTACCGCAGGCTTACGTGGACGCGCATGCGGCCAACTAGACCGATGCGGTGGATAAATGTGCGAGTGCAATGTGGACAGTGGAGGCGGATGCGGCGAGTGTGAGTTGTTGCGACAGGTACTGGTTTGCCAGTCACTGTGCGATGGACTCGCAAGTGGCCGACCAGGTCAGTGCGTGGGACAAATGTACGGGAACAGTGTGAACGGAGCAGTCGACGGCGTCAGTATCAGCATCGGTGATGGAGACAGTGGAGCTGGTGGTGGTGTGCGCGTTGGGCGACGGGGCGTGGGTTGAGCTGAACATGGTGAGTGTGCAAGATGTTCTGAGTGTGATGGAACTGGTGGCGGTGGGCGCGCTGGGCAACGGGGTCTGGGTTGAGCTAGGCATGATAGATGTACAAGAGGTGCTAGGTGTGTCGAGAATGCGGTCAATTCTGCTCTCGTGGATACGCATGTGACCGAATAGGCCCATGCGGTGAGTAAATGTGCGGGGGCAGTGTGGCCAGTGAAGGCGAATGCGGCGAGTATAGGTTTGTGCTCCAGGCACCGGTTCGCCAGTCTCTGTGAGATGGATTCGCAAGTGGCCGACCAGTATGATGTGTGAGATTAAAGTGCGATCGCAATGGGGACGGGTAAAGACCAGGTCCGTACCACTGGTGTTGACGGTGGTGGTGCTGGTGTTTGTTGGTGTTTCAGGATCGTGTGTAGTGCTGATGGACATGGCAGACTCCACAGCGACAGGTGTTGAGGAGGAGGAGGAGGAGGAGGAGGAGGAGGAGGAGGATGGCAGCGGCGATTCGGGAGGGTGGCCAACGTTAGTTGACGGCGCGGGAGGCGAGAGAGAGGTGGACGAGGAGAGGACAACTGGCGCACTCCGGGTGCTGCAGTTGGTCCGGAGGTATCTAACAAGTACAACTGGCACCCGGAATGTCCGTTGACATCGTTTTCACGTTGGAGGCGGTTGGGCGTTGGCGCTGTGGTACGCCGGAAGTACAATACAATGTAAGGTTGAACATGGTCATGCCAAGAGTGAGTGACCGATCTCATGAAACGTTGGCCGAAATTCTGAAAGGCGTTTTAGATTTGGAAGGATTATTTAGGTGAGGTTGTAATATTGATTGATAATCCAGTAATATTTCCAGTTCGCCAGGATTTCGGCTTTTGGATTCACTTCTTTTCGATTTCCTGTAGAAACTGTATTCGGTAACAAATGGCTATTTATGCAGCATGCATATGTCACACTGATTTCCTATGGTCTTATTTATTCAAATATATTTTACGAAAATCATGCGAAAAATAGGCCTTCGTTTACTCTTTTGGTAGAACATCACGTAGTCTTCAATTTTATACCTAAAGGAAGGGCACGTTTAGATTTTAAGAAAGTTTTCCAATTCCAGATTAATGTTAAGCCAGAGCAGCCGTTGCATTAGCGTTTAGCGATTTCACTTTACATGGCGCATGATTTTCACGTAAGGAAAATCACTTATTCCTCTATGCCTTTGAGGAGATACCATTTTGAGTTCATGAAATTGGTGAACAGACACGTACGATGCTGTGTGAATGTACATTGCACGGTCTTAAAAATCCCATTATTGAAAACATTTTTAAAACCTATATAGACCGTCTTCAAGTATAAAATGTAACGTAGACATGATTTGCTACCGAATGAGTAGACGAAAGCATATTTTGTGCATGTTTGCTGTAAAATATATTTGAATTTATATGACCATCGAAAATCAATGCGAGAAACGCATGCGACTTAAGTAGTCATTTTTACCGAGTGTGGCTTTTAAAGGAGATCGAAAAGAAGTGCATTCAAAAGCCGACATCCTGGCTTGTCCAAAATATTACTGGACTATGCCTCTATGTAATCAGTATTACAACCCTACCTAAGGAATTCTTCCAAATCGAAAACGTATTTCAGAATTCCGGTCAACATTTCATGAGATTGGCCACTCACTGTACCTCCCTGAAATAAAGGTGGCCTGGCAGTAAATTCCAGGGAAGTGAATATTCCCGTGTTCTAAATGTTGCCCTAATCTATACGCTAACCCTAATGCCAACCACAAATCTTCCAATCCTGACCTTTATCCTTGCGCTAACTCACTGAAAGTTGGGACAAGACAACCCAAAAGGAGCGCAGTCCGTACTCCCGTGCTCAATACTGATTGCCTAAAGTAATTTGAACTTTCCGGTGTTTTTCGCCTGTTATTTGTGATATGCAGCAACAGTAGGTAATAAGGAAGCGGTCAAAATTTTTCAAACATCTACAAGTTTTGTACTTTACCAAATTTAAACTTTCCTTTAAATTGTTCCAGGGTGAGATATTTCTCTACAGGCCGTCATTTGAGAAAGACCGATACATTAACTTACTATACCAGCGGGGAAGATACTCATAGGTCCAGGAGCATTTGAGAAAAAAGCCACTTAGATGGTAGCTGGTCAGCTTATGTTTCTGATTCATTCCCATCTTGATTAAGATAGGCAAGGTGGTTTAATTAATTGAACATGGTATGTCAGTAATTATTTCCCAAAGAAAACACGTATAAACGAAATCTGACTTCAGGTCCTGTGTTGTCTTTTTAATTTCTGCGCAACTAAGTGTAAGTTTCGGTTCTTTTCGGTAAAGGAAATGGACAGAAATTTGTCCCTTTTGTTCTTTTTGTGGGTACCTATATTTTTAATAAACCAGTTGCCTTACTTTTAGCAAAATGTCTTCTACTTTCAAAAAATGTTCAATAACTAGCAGCAGACAAAAGGAGCGATATATTCTGCAAGAAGCAACAAACTGTCAAAAAGTTATTGGACGCAACGGTCTCGCTTCGGCGTTAAAAATATTCCAAGGTTCTGTCAGGGAACGCTATATTTTTGCTATTGGTACAGACTTGTCCTACAATTATGCGCAGGGAAAGTCAATCTTTTTTCACATAGCGGGCTTGAGTTCGTGCATAAACCCTTCTCCAGCTTAAAAATAGATGTCTACGTTTCAACTATAAAGCACCAACTGTCTCACTTGATAGTTCGACTGTCGTTGCTGACGATGTCTGCCGTGTGCACTCTAGCAAGGTGAGAGCAGGCACGGTGACCTATACGTAAATTGGTTTACAATGGTAGTAGACTTGCACGTCATCTACCGCACTCCCTCCTCCTCCCCCAACTGAACGCGGTGTCAATACATAGTCATGCAGACCGAAGGCGAGAGAGGACGCTGGTGGCTGGCATGCCCGGACCCTCACCTAGGCGTGCAACCACATCCCCTGGTTCACAACAAACACTTGACCAGGATTTCAACCAACAACAAAAAGGGGTCAGAAGGAGAAGGATGACACAAGTCACTGGGCAATCATGCACACGTGTCTCTGATGATGGATTCGAGCAGGAATCCGAAACGTCAGGCTAATAAAGCTCTTGTCCCGGCGATCGTGTCTTCTTCTTCAAGACTGCTTCCTGGGACTCGTCTTTTCGCTTCTATTGGCAATCATGCACACGGTCTGCATACCCAGCGAGAATGCAAGCGCATCCACCGGGAGGGAATCAGGTACCAGAGAAATGCCAGCACACAACAAGCTGCGAGGGCCATGGTTTTCCAAAGCGTGACCTAGCAAATGCTCACAAGATTGAGACGTAGGTCTGCATTTAGCCTGAGTCATCACTCCTTAAAAGCCTAGTCAGCCATCGACCAAAAGGTATTACCCTTACACACGCACACTCTTCACATGCGTGATAGTGCCAGAGGTCACGTTAAGAAGAAGCCTTTACAGTCTGACTCCCGGTCCATCAGTCTGCCACTCCACGCAAACGCACACAACTGGGCAGACTGCGTGGAATGACTTGATGCCTCAGTCGGCAATCTTCCAAGCCGCGGCGTTTGGCGCGTCATGATAGTCTCAGGCTCGGATCTCATACGCAGCAAAGGAGTCACACGGAGATGGAGCCGAGAGACACACTTCTCGCCTATGTGAGAGGTGCCAGTGAGGTGCTTTCGTTGTGTGATGATGATTGATGTTAGTGGGGGTTGTAGGTGCTACCGAGGGGAGGTGTGATGGTGTGGTATGGCCGGCGGTAATCTATCACAGGTTTTAATGAATACGCATGAAGCCGCCGAGGCCCGCGCGGCAGCTGAATGCGTGAGGTCAATGACGGTAGTTGAGGCGACGGCCTATGCCGCACGTTGGAGCTCCAGGCATTGGTTCGATTGTCGCCGTGCGATGGATTCGCAGGTGACCGACCAGGCCGACACCTGAGGTGAATCTGCGGTGACAGCGAGCACAACATGTAGGAAGCTGCAGAGTCGATTTGGGCGGCATGTATTTCAGATGCGTGAGAGTGTTAGAGGTCACGTTAAGAAGGAGCCGTTTCGGCCTGACTCTCAGCCCACCAGTGCGCCACTTCACACGAACACACACACACAACTGAGCAGACTGCGTGGAATGACTTGATGCCTCAGTCGGCAATCTTCCAAGCCGCGGCGTTCGGTGCGTCATGATAGTCTCAGGCTCAGCTCCCACACGCAACAAAGGAGCCACGCGGAGAAGGAGCCGAGAGAGACACTCCCCACTTAAGGGCGAGATATAAAATGTCTCAATTATTTTATGGCTCAAGGTAATTACTTAAGAGACGAGACTAATGAAAGGAGTTATTCACTTATTTTTCTTCTTCCGTTAACGCCGGGTTCTGTATGGACTTTGTCCGAATAATAGTTCATTCATTTAAGGAGAGATGGGCGAGATCTTGTCCGTGGGACGGGGAGAGGGGAGTGGCGATTAAGGTGGTAAAATGATGATGTAGACTTATGAAGTTTTGTCCTTACCTCCATTCCACTCTCATGTAGGCTGGAAGTCTGCGTCAAATCGACCGATAATGAGTCCGGATGATGTGGTTACGCAGGCGTTCAGTCCGTCTTAGGTTCCCATACACTGACTAGTTTCATAACACAACGAAGTATATTTAGCGGGACCTCCTGAACCTAACAGAAGAAGGACGTTGTTTTGGTATGATAACAAGCAACCATTCATCTACGACGTCAACACAGAGGGTTTTTTGAAGGATGGGGGTACTAGGAATTACATAGCGCTGTTCCTGAGCCGTAGACAGTTACCTCTTGAGTTGACATTCTTTCGATTTTTTAGTCGGATTATCTCTTGGTGTTCACTTTCTTAGATAGGTTGCTGTTCAGGACCCTTTATGTCTTCTACAATTTTCGCTCCTTAGAAATGTTTTACTTGGCTTTCCGGGGCTAGCAGAATGCTCACTATACTCATTTATTCTCGGTCCAACGAGACAGTAAGGCAAGTTTGTTTTCATAATCTATGGATACTGAAAAGTTCTCATGCTGCACTTTTAGTTTAAAGGGAAGTTCATAGGTATTATGGCAGATTTCAAATAATTCATCTTGATCCAATTGTGAAAAACCCGGTACGTCGGTGGTATTCGAACCCACAAAAGCAGGGAGAAGGCTTTAGTACAATCAATGCTCTAGCCACCTGAGCCACGAGGCCCCACCGGACGACGCGAATTTAATTACATTTGGGTCAAGTTTACCCGCTCAACCTACTGCAACGTCTGGTTCCACCAAAACTTATACACTAATCTGACTGTTCAAGCAGGATTTCCTATATAATACATCTAGAATCCACCATATGACTACCAGGCTCATGTAGTTCATAGGTGTCGTGGGTTCGAATCCCACCGAGGCACCGGGGTTTTTACAGTTGTGCCAAAATGAACTATTTGAAGTCTGCCATAGCAATGCTTGTTTACTCCTACAGTCATCTGGTCGTGGAGGACTGAGGCACATACATATCTGAACAGAAGTTGTTACAGCAAATACCTCTCGCTCCCTGTTAGGAGAAACTTAATCACCCTAACTGCCTGAGATCAATCTTTTTAGATACGTCAATGGATTAACTGCTCCGTTTGGCGATACAAATGTCTCAAGGAAAGACAACTCAAGGGATGTGCGTACGTCTTTTGTAGTATTATGATATTTCGGGACTATAAGTGGCAAGGCACGGAAACAGGAAGCCCCTGCTTCAAGTTCCAGGAACATTAGTGTTATTGCTAACGTTAGAGCTGAGGCTAATGTGGGCATTAGTCTTGAGATTAGGGATAGTGCTGTAATTAGAGCTGGGACATAGGAATACCTGTCCACCCTGAAATTTTCCTCAAGGCTACCTGTATCAGCGGGGAGGTTCCTATCCGCGTATCTAAGCCAATAAATGCTTTTCATACCTGAACACAAACTGGACCAGATGGATTTGGAGGAAAGCTTTAACGAATACACCTGAGGTGTTCTGGAGGAAGCAATTTGCACAAATGCCGAGGAAGTCATTGGGTCAACACTCTAAGGAAATTAGAAACGACTTGAAAAGAAGGACTTAGGGAGCAGACGGGTGATGTCCAAAATAACCACATCCTACTAATCATAGGTCGCCCTCGACAAATACTGTTGGCAAATGAAAAGGAAAATTCGGGAGATGGAAACCCATAAATCACAATAGAACTACAGGGAAGCTGATAGCAGAGAAATTAATAATTTATTCGCTGCCACTAACACGGTCACAGGACTCGCGACAACCGAAACTCCTTCAGTACTCGGTTCGGATTGCACAACGCTCTGGCGGGGCAATTAGAGATGCTTGGGACACTGATTCAAACATTCGCGGAGTAAATGTAACCGTCATATTGAGTCTACCAGAGACAATTAATAGGCTTCACTAAGTTCAAATCATTGTTACTTACACTCACCCCGTAGCCCAAAGAACAACAATTACTTCTGGCTAACATTGGGAAGAAGCGCCTCGGGTGCGAATATGTTTACCTTTCAGGCCTACATGCACGACGGTTCGGAATAATGAAGTTACGACTCAGCCGTTGCAGAGAATGTGAATAACGGGAAAATTTCTCGTTACCTTACGGACACAGCTGCTATTAACTTAT